ACTTCCATCCTGTTGAAGAAAACTGATATCAAGGAAGCTGATGTTGCATAAGGGGTAAATATGCTAACAAAACAGAGATCACAAACAATCGAGGATGTGGAGTTGTTGTTTGTGTGTATCAATGAGAAACAATTAGTGGGAGATAGTGTTTCGGAGGGGATAATTTGCGAGAAGCCAAGGCAGTTGTATGTGGAGCTTGTAAAGAAAATGCTGGGAATGAGTGCTACTGTTAGTGAATTTAAGGCCAGCAAAGGTTGGTTCGACAGATTCAAGAAGCGAAGTGGCATACACAGTGTGGTAAGGCATGACGAAGCTGCAAGTTCTGACAAACATGCTGCCGAAGCATTAGTTGATGAATTCAAGGGGTATGTAGAGGCTGAAGGATTCCTCCCCCAACAAGTGTTCAATTGTGATGAAACAAGCCTGTTTTGGAAGAAAATACCAAAGAGGACCTACATCATGCAGGAGGAAAAGGCACTGCCAGGACACAAGCCTATGAAGGATAGGCTAACTCTTTTGTTCTGTGGTAATGCTAGTGGGGATTTCAAAGTGAAGCCTTTACTCGTGTATCACTCTGAAAATCCCTGAGTGTTCAAGAAAAACAATGTCATGAAGAGTAAACTGTGTGTGCTGTGGAAGGCTAACAATAAGGCATGGGTCACGAGGCTAATTTTCATTGAGTGGGTCAATGAAGTGTTTGGCTCAAGTGTGAAGAAATACCTCCTGGAAAATAATTTGCCAATTAAGTGCCTCCTGGTAATGGACAATGCTCCTGCTCATCCTCCAGACTTGGAAGAGCAACTGGTTAGCCAGACTTGAGTCGTGGAGGTGGGAAGCACAGTGCCTGTATTCTAAAGGAGGGGTTTGGGATATTTGCTGTTTAGAGTGACATCTAAACTGCTGTATCTGCATGCCTCTGGCAAGACAGTTACCATTATTATTGTGAATTATGGTTAAAGTGTTTCCTTTTCAGGTCACCCTGCCTTGGTGGGAGACGGCCTGGGCAAAAAAATAAAAACTCTAAAACGGTCAACATTTACCAAATACAGTGGACCCCCGCCTTACGATATTATTTCATTCCAGAACTCTGTTCAGGTGCCGTTATAGACCGAATTTGTTCCCATAAGGAATATTGTGAATTAGATTAGTTCGTTTCAGACCCCCAAAAATACATGTACAAAAGCACTTACAAAAATACACTTACATAATTGGTCGAGTTGGGAGCTGATCGTAAGGCGGGGGTCCACTGTAATGAGTTAAATCATAATACCAGGGAGAGAAAAGCCTTCAAAGTTTATTATACAACATTATACATACCACCTATGGTAATGTTAGATTTTTTTAATGCACTGAGGCAGGGTGACCTAAAAAGAAAAACAAAAGCTTTTCTTCTTAAATTTAGTAATTTATACAGGAGAAAGGTTTACTAGTCCCTTCCTCATGGCATTTTAGTCACCTCTTATGACACACATGGCTTACAGAGGAAGAATTCTTTTCCACTTCCCCATGCAGATAAGAAATAACAAGAAACAAGAACTATGTATTAAGAAAATAGAAGAAAACCCAATGAGTATGTGTATACATATGTGTGCACAGTGTACATGCATGTGTAGTGTGACTTAAGTGTAAGTGCAAGCAAGATATACCTGTTATCCCATGTGTTTATGAGACAGAAAAAAAAAAAAAGACAGCAGTAATCCTACCATCATGTAAAAAAATTACAGGTTTCTGTTTCACACTCACTTGGCAGGATGGTAGTACCTCCCTGGGTGGTTGCTGTCTACCAACCTACTACCTAGGAATGTTAGAAATCTTCCTTTCCTTTCAACACATTGGCCGTATCCCACCGAGGCGGGGTGGCCCAAAAGGAAAAACGAAAGTTTCTCCTTTTACATTTAGTAATATATACAGGAGAAGGGGTTACTAGCCCCCTGCTCCTGGCATTTTAGTCACCTCTTACAACAAACACGCATGGCTTACGGAGGAAGAATTCTGATCCACTTCCCCATGGAGATAAGAGGAAATAGACAAGAACAAGAACTAGAAGGAAAATAGAAGAAAATCCAGAGGGGTATGTATATATATGCTTGTACATGTATGTGCAGTGTGACCTAAGTGTAAGTAGAAGTAGCAAGACATACCTGAAATCTTGCATGTTTATGAAACAGAAAAAAGGACACCAGCAATCCTACCATCATGTAAAACAATTACAGGCTTTTGTTTTACACTCACTTGGCAGGACGGTAGCACCTCCCTGGGCGGTTACTGTCTACCAACCTACTACCTAGGAATGTTAGAAATATTTGTATCAAATTTCAGTAAATCTGAGTGCTAATTTATAAGATTGTTTTGGTTGTCCTGGTGCAACTGAATAGTATACAGCTGTACTTCTTGTCACTCACAAAATTATATGTCACAAATAAGGTATCTTAAGGTCCTTCTTGTGAAGTCATATATTACAGCCAAAGTGGCCAGGTACTGTCAAGTACTAGGCATTTTCTTATTCATACTGACCAATTATGGGTCAACCTTGCCTTGGCAGAAGAGAGCCTGTGGGGAGAGAAAACTCTTAACTTGATTCACCTTAAATACAAAATTTTATTCCAACTGGAGGAACATTCTAAAATGTCTTTCATACAACTCTGTCTCCAATACTGTGATGGACTAATATTGACATTTGGCAATGTGAAAAAAAATTTTGGTTTCCAGAAAATATATATTGGTATACAAATATTATTGAGTTCATTAACCCTTTCAGGGTTTCGGCCGTACTAGTACGGTTTACGAGCCAGGGTTTTCGATGTACTAGTGCGCCTAAATTTTAGCGCCCTCAAATCTAGTGAGAGAAAGCTGGTAGGCCTACATATGAAAGAATGGGTCTATGTGGTCAGTGTGCGCGGTATAAAAAAAATCCTGCAGCACACAGTGCGTAATGAGAAAAAAAAAACTTTGACCGCGTTTTTGGATTAAAACAGCGACTTTGCACTGTATTTTCGTATGGTATTTTTTGTTGTATTCTAGTTTTCCTGGTCTCATTTTATAGAATGAAAGACATATTACAGAAATTGAGATAATTTTGACTGGTTTTTACAAAGAAAAAGTACCTTGAAATTGAGCTCAAAGTAGCAGAAATCTTTGATTTTTACCAAAGTTCCAAAGTAAACAAATCATGCTATGCATCCAATACACCTCAATTGGTGAGTCTAATATTCTTTCACAAGTGCGTTGATATTATTTATACCATTTCTACACCAATGCAATAGTCTGCATAACAGTAAATCTTCTATTTTTTTGTGAGAATAAAAATTCTAAGTGGAAGGCAAAAGAATGTAAGAGAGACATGGGGACACGACTAATGAACAGAGGAAATGTTATTTTAGTGCCAGGTATGTCTTTCTTGTTTATTCTGGACCCTATTCGGAAACTGGCATCTTTTGAAATTTGTGTGAAATTGGCAAAATTGCTAAATTCTGACCATTGTACTGGATAGTTGAAATTGGTAAATGGGTGGTTTCTTGTACTCATTCGATAGAAAAAATAGAGTTCTAGCGAAATAGTTATGATTTTCATCGACAAGTATGACGGAATTGGCTGAAAATAGGGCTCAAAGTGGGCAAAATCACCGATGTGTAAACATCGCCGAGACCGCTAACTTCGCGAGAGCATAATTCCGTACGTTTTCCATCAAATTTCATACTTTTGGTGTCATTATGATCGGGAAAAGATTCTCTATCTTTTTATAAGAAAAAATAATTTATTTTTTTTTAAATTTGGCCGACCCTGAGAACAAGTCTCTGAGAGGGCCTGTCGACCCTGAAAGGGTTAATTTCATAAATTATCACTGACACTTAGTAAAACCAGCATACCTAAACTTTATGCAGAAATAATTAGCTTATAATACCTTCTTGAGTGCAAGTAAATTGTTCCACAAATCATATAATCCCCCCGTATCCATGGGTGATACGTTCCAAGACCTACTGAGGATACCCGAAACTACAGATAGTAGTGAACCCTATATACGCTGTTTTTGTTTACATACATACCTATGATAAAGTTTAATTGATAAATTATACACAATAAGTCAAGAAGTAGCTCTTTTTCACTGATGGGAAGCACTTCACGGCTTCTCTCAGGCTTTGAAGAACTTCCACCATCACTACTATTGTGCTTTGGGGCCATTATTAAGCAAAATTAGGAGTTACTTTTGGGCCACAGTAAACTGCGAATATCAAATCTGCAGATATGGGGGTTCTACCATACATGAGTCTTGATTCACCAAACAATAGTTTTCAAAAAAAAAAATATTATTTCAGGAAGAATTATTTAATAGTATTTTAAAATTTTATCAAAATTACAATTCCAGAGAAAATAGGAAGAAATGATGTCTTATAAGTGTACTTTATGGAAGTGACGGTATGAAGTAATATCACACAATGAAGAGCGTGTATGAAAATGCATAAAACAAGTGTGCCTGGTCATCTCTCCCCTGAATAACTTTAATATTTACCCGAGGATTATAGGGATTGTGCTTACATTTTCACGTTTTTTAATCACCAGCCATTTCCCACCTAGGTAGGATGACCCACCAAAAAAAGAAAAGCTTTCACTATCATTCTATCACTATCTTGTCAGAGTCATATCAACATTACAGCTCAGATGCCACTATTTTCATGTGCAACTGTGTTACAATATAGCCACTAAAACAAAATGCTATTCACATCTGACTGACTGAGTGACAAATATCCTCAAGAGACACTGAAGAAAATGATGAGGCTGATTGTCTTGTTTTCCCATTTCATCATCTCTCACAATACAGTAATTTTTTTTATAAAATGTTAAAATAAAAAGAAATCCATCTCTTTCTCATCCTCCAATTTTTCCCCAATAGTTGCAAGGTCATGTATAGTCATGAATACACACACGAGTGCCAATCCTATATAGATCAGCTTACAGGTTTCTTGCAAATTAAAGGGAACAGATGTACAGTAATTCAAACTTACCTAGATTATCAAAGGCTAAATAATAATCTTGAATCATATTGATTTGCAGCTCTTTTATTGTGAGCAAGTAGCAGATGGTACTGTATGCAGAGTGACGCACTTGAGAATCCATGGTGCAGCACATAGTATGGAAAAGATACCTTATCAAAAGGATAACTGTTTTTTGTGATGGGAATCCTCTCTGCAACACACATTTGCTATTATTATTTATAAACTTACAAAGTTTTTATTCTGGTTTTATTTTATTTATTGATACAATTCCTCTTATATATTGCACATTATTCTAGACTATTTTAACATACCATCTGTATACACCATGATAGGGTGACCCCCCCTGAAAAAAATATTCACCATCACTTATTCAATAGGTGTCTTGCCAGAAGTGTGCAGACATCACAATACTGACCCTCCAAACTGCACCCCTTCTTTCAGGGTCCAGGCAAAGAATGTCCCACCACCAGGATTCAAGTCTGGCTAACATGTTTTCATGAATGTTACCTTGCTCATACTCCAACAGCACATCAAGCCATATAAACCACTTGTCCCCACTCACTCCAATCTAATACACTCACACAAGCCTGGAGGATGCCCAAATCATCATCACTCAAAATCTTCCTTTACCCTGTCCTTCCAACCCTTCCTTCCTGTTGGGGAGGCACAGGTAAGGCAATCTGCACATAAATAGCAAAGCAAGGTATCCAAACCACCAGCACTTACAGAAATTGGGGAGGGGGAAAGAGCTCTGTTACCATTAAGTGGTTACTTGCTGAAGACATGGAAGTAGGGAGCTCACCATCACCTAATGTTAATTTGGCAACATTGATCAGGTATAGTACGTTTATTTTCCTCATGAGGGATGGACAACAGTGTCTGTTTTGAGACTGGGTAGCTACTGCAGTTGCAGTTCCTGGAAAATATCGTATGCATGTAAAGTAAGTGAGTGTTTATGTACTAACAAGTGAGGAAGGATGACCATCCCACAGCATGTAATAAGGTGGGTATGCCTAAGTGAGGTAATAAACTTGTTATCTACAGTTCAAATCTGTTAGTTTGTCCACTTGAGTGGTATAATTCATCTGCACTATACATACTCTTATGCTGAGTGTGTAAATTGACCTTCGGGCAAACTGCTCTCAAGAATGAACATTAAAATGGTATAAAATGCCGACAGGTTGTTGGGCAAGACACATACGCAACAGTTAGGTATCTTTATTTTGAAACGTTTCGCCTACACAGTAGGCTTCTTCAGTTGAGTACAGAAAAGTTGATAGAAGCAGAAGAGATTTGAAGACGATGTAATCAGTCCATCACCCTTGAAGTTTTGAGGTGGTCAGTCCCTCAGTCTGGAGAAGAGTATTGTTCCATAGTCTGAAACAATATGGAGTTGAAGTGAAAAGAAGGAGCCTTAAATACCGCCAGGAGGTGACATATAGGCCACTAGTAGAGGTAAGAATGTATTCGTTGGGAGGTCAGGTCCCTCTCAAATCCAGCCATTCTCACTAGTAGAAGTTGTCCAAGTAGATTTCAGGTCTGTACAAAGATACCCTTGTGTTGCAGTGTCTGACAGAGTCAGACACTGATTACATCGTCTTCAAGTCTCTTCTGCTTCTATCAACTTTTATGTACTCGACTAAAGAAGCCTACTGTGTAGGCGAAATGTTTCGAAATAAAGATACCTGCTCTCAAGAATGCTTGGCTGACTATGATCCAGCTTATCTGAGGTGTTTTGACCAGGTGTATGGGCTATATATTGTACCTCATGCAGAGATAATGAAGCCTGATGTAGAGATTTCTCATGACTATGGTGAGGAGGAGGTTGAGAAGTATTGGGTACAGGATTTAAAAAAGGAGTAGTTGCATTAGCTGTAGAACAAGAGGAATGCTGTGGTGTATCACAAGGATAACTTGTAAACCACCTCTGTGTAGTCAAAGATGGCAAGGAGGGATCATTACTATTAAAACAGTAATAATTACTTTCAGCTCTGTGTTTCCCCACCCACTATCAAGTATCATAGAAGAGGCTTACATGTTTACTAAACAAATGACTCCAGGGCTAACAGAGAGGCACATGAGTGATTGCATGACTAAAATGGTTACTGCTCTCTTATGTCCACTTGGTCCTAGCTGAATACACCACCTCACACCACAGAAAGGAGAACAATGCAAGGCCAGCTGACTGATTCAATGGGGCCAGCAATGAACCTTTTACTTGACCTCTTATTCACTCATCAAAGAAATGTGTTGCCCACCCAAGGGCTGAAGCTCCACAGACAGGCTCAACTTCTAGGCAGTGGAAAGAATGAATTTACAGGTCACAGTAAAGTCATTCTTTCAGCATCTTATGTTCACCCCTAGGAAGCCAAAGCCTACCAAGAACTGTCACAACAACAAAGTTCATAATCCCAACACAGAAAATGCAAAAGACCTGCCAATAGGAGTCATTTTTAATTAGCTTTACAATTTGTAGACATGTACAGTACATCTTTTTACTATATCAGTCATCTCCTACCAAGGCAGGGTAACCCAAAGGAAACACATTCACCATTATTCATTCAAAGGCTGACAAAACGATTTAACTGATCATCTGAATCCCAACATCCTCACCCATCTTTCAGTGCACACACCAGTTCTTTCGACTTCCATAACTCAAATCAAATAGACACATAGTTATAGGTACATAAGTAGGTTTGTAAACAAACCACCCAAGGAAGTATTACCATATTGCCAAATGAATGTAAAGTGGAAGACGGCAACTATTTTACACAATGGTAGGATTACACATACATTTCCTTTCTGCCTTATAAAGATGCAATATGACAGGTATATATGGCTACTACTACTTACACTTAGTTTATACTCCACATTAAGTTGTCCATGTCCAAATATACATACTCATCTGAGTTTTCTTTTAATTTGGGTGGGTATGTAAAAGAAGGCAATAAAAAGCATAGGAAAGTAATAAGAGTAACCAAAATTTGAGGCAATAAAAGATATCACATTGGAGGCAAGGAGAACAGAGGAGGGACATCTGAACTGTTGTATCTGTGCACCTCTGGCAAGAAAGTGAGTGTGAATGATGGTGAAGTGTTTCTTTTTTGGGTCACCCTTCCTCAGTGGGAGATGGTCAGTGTGTTAAAAAAAAAAAGGGTAGTGGATTTGTTGGTAGGTGGGTTTATTGAAGATGAGGTGAACCACAGAATTGATGAGGAAAAAAAAGGTGGGTGGTGCATCAAGGGATCAGTGGAGACACAGATCCTTATCTATGGAAGCAAATAAGTGTGTGTGCCAAGGTATAGTGGTATCAATACCGTTGTACGGTTGTGAAGCAAGTAGTTTGAATGTTGTAGAGAGGAGGATGGAGGCAGTGGAGATATGTTTGAGGACAAAGTGTGGTATGAATATTAAGCAGAGAATCTGCAACTTGAAGATTAGGGGAAATTGTAGGGTTACCAAAAGTATTACTCAAAGGGCAGAGGAAAGGCTGTTGAGGTGGTTTGGAAATACTACAGAATGTTTGGAACAAAATAAGATGACTAGGAAGGTACATAAGGGGAGGGGGTAAGGGAGGTATTGAGTGCTAGGGGCTTGGACATCCAACAGGCTTTTGTGAGCATGTTAGATAGGAGCAAGTGGAGGCATGTGGTTTTTGTGATTTGACTTGCTGCTGAAGTGTAAGGTAACATTTAAGAAGGGATTCAGGAAAATCAGTTAGCTGGACTCGGATCCTGGAAGTGGGAAGTAGTGCCTGCACCTTGAGGAAGGGGGTAGGGATGTTGCAGTTCATAGGGGTATCAAAGCTGTGATGCTGGCACACTTTTGGCTAAGCAGTGGTTGAATGAATGATGGTTAGATTTTTTTTTTCCATGTCAGCCTACCTTGGTGGGAGACAGAAGCAGTAAAAAAAAAAGTTACAATTGTTTATTAACCCTTAAACGGTCTAAACGTATATATACATTCATGCGCGTAGCGCCCCAAACGTATATATACGTTTTCTTTGTCATTCATTCAACATTGCCACAATAAGCCTGAGTCACCTAGACATGAGAGAATGGGTGTGCACACTCACTGTGCGCCCTATTAAAATAATTGGGCATGCCTGGGTACCATATGCTCTTTTTTCCTTTTAAAAGAAAAGATTTTTTTTTCCTCAAAAAATTTGGGGCGCTACGCAAGTGAACGTATATATACGTTTGGACCGTTTAAGGGTTAAGGCTCAACAGCAGTACAAATACAATGAATAAGGTGATAACAGATCATTCCAATTTTGAGGAAAAAAGAGTCAGGCATATAAATAAATATTTGAACAACATGTATATCTTTTACAAGAAGTCCTCAATGGACTAGAGATTTGAATTCAGAAAATGAACTGCAGATATAGACATATTGTACTTTATATCTTACCATAAACCAATCTTCACAAATATACTTTTTTATTTTGGGTGGTTTAAGATCTGCCAAGATTTGTGGCGTCTTCTGAAACGGCCATATAAGCGTATCTGAAAAAAAAAAAATATATATATATATATATAGATGCATTTTTTTAATAAGTCGGCCGTCTCCCACCAAAGCAGGGTGACCCAAAAAAGAAAGAAAATCCCCAAAAAGAAAATACTTTCATCATTCAACACTCACCTCACTCACACATAATCACTGTTTTTGCAGAGGTGCTCAGAATACAACAGTTTAGAAACATATATGTATAAAGATACACAACATATCCCTCCAAACTGCCAATATCCCAAACCCCTCCAGGACTCAAGTCCGGCTATATAAAAATAACCGATTTCCCTGAATCCCTTCACTAAATATTACCCTGCTCACACTCCAACAGCTCATCAGGTCCCAAATACCATTTGTCTCCATTCACTCCTATCTAATACGCTCATGCACGCCTGCTGGAAGTCCAAGCCCCTCGCCCACAAAACCTCCTTTACCCCCTCCCTCCAACCTTTTCGAGGAGGACCCCTACCCTGCCTTCCTTCCCCTACAGATTTATATCCCTCCAAACTGCCAATATCCCAAACCCCTCCTTTAAAGTGCAGGCATTGTACTTCCCATTTCCAGGACTCAAGTCCGACTATATGAAAATAACTGGTTTCCCTGAATCCCTTCACTAAATATTACCCTGCTCACACTCCAACAGATCGTCAGGTCCCAAGTACCATTAGTCTCCATTCACTCCTATCTAACACGCTCACACACGCTTGCTGGAAGTCCAAGCCCCTCGCCCACAAAACCTCCTTTACCCCCTCTCTCCAACCCTTTCGAGGACGACCCCTACCCCGCCTTCCTTCCCCTATAGATTTATATGCTTTCCATGTCATTCTACTTTGATCCATTCTCTCTAAATGACCAAACCACCTCAACAACCCCTCTTCTGCTCTCTGACTAATACTTTTATTAACTCCACACCTTCTCCTAATTTCCACACTCCGAATTTTCTGCATATTTACACCACACATTGCCCTTAAACAGGACATCTCCACTGCCTCCAACCGTCTCCTCGCTGCTGCATTTACCACCCAAGCTTCACACCCATATAAGAGTGTTGGTACTACTATACTTTCATATATATATATATATATATATATATATATATATATATATATATATATACACAGTATATACATATTTTTTTTTTTCAACAAGTCGGTCGTCTCCCACCGTTGGTAGACAGCAACAGCCCAGGGAGGTACTACCGTCCTGCCAAGTGAGTGTAAAACGAAAGCCTGTAATTGTTTTACATGATGGTAGGATTGCTGGTGTCCTTTTTTCTGTCTCATGAACATGCAAGATTTCAGGTACGTCTTGCTACTTCTACTTACTCTTAGGTCACACTACACATACATGTACAAGCGTATATATACATACCCCTCTGGGTTTTCTTCTATTTTCTTTCTAGTTCTTGATTATTTCCTCTTATCTCCATGGGGAAGTGGAACAAAATTCTTCCTCCGTAAGCCATGCGTGTTGTAAGAGGCAACTAAAATGCCGGGAGCAAGGGGCTAGTAATCCCTTCTCCTGTATGTATTACTAAATCTGAAAGGAGAAACTTTCGTTTTTCCTTTTGGGCCACCCTGCCTCGGTGGGATACGGCCGGTGTGTTGAAAGAAAGAAAGAAAGGTATATATGTATACACACACACACACACACACACACACACACATACACAGAGTATACATTAAATACAGTAGACTGTTATATTACATGGTTTTATTTTGCACGTTTTGGTTATTGCACAACTGAAAAATTGTGGCACAATTTTATACAACACTTTGTAAAATTGACTTAACAAGGTTCAGTTTTACGGAGGAGAAAAAAATTGGAGTGTCGCCTGCAGGATACTTCCCCAACACAGCTAGGAGCTAGCTGTGTTTGTTATTATGTTTGTGGATTGAGTTTAGATCTTTTAATTGCCATATCTTGTATCTGCCAAGCAATCATGGCACCCAGTAGGCATACAAGTGTTGCTGAAAGTGGCAAGAAAAGGTTTAAGCATTTAAGTCTAGGAGTTACGAAGAATATGAAGATAGTATTAGACAAGCTTAAGAGTGGCTCACGTGTGGTGGATATCGTGAGGGCCTATGTCCTTTAATGAAGTGTCAGTTCGTACAATTAAAAAGAATGAGGTGAATATACGAGCTAGTGTAATGAATAACCGAAGATGTCATCTCATGAAAAGAATGATACACAGATTACAGCAAGTAAATAAAACTGAAAACTTGTTGCTTAAGTGGATTGAACAAAAAACAAAGAAAGATACGCCACTTATTTTCATTTTAATTAGGGAAAAGGCCTTACAGTTGTTTAAAGCAGTGTGTGATAAGGAAGGCCTGAAAAAGTGTGTATGTTTAGCACAGGCTGGTTCCACAGCTTTAACCCTTTTACTGTTGGTGCCGTAGTACTACAGCTTACGAGGCAGTGTTGGTGCTGTAGTACTACAGCTTACGAGCCAGTGATGGTGCTGTAGTACTACAGCTTACGAGCCAGTATTGGTGAGGTAGTACTACAGCTTACGAGCCAGTGTTGGTGCCGTAGTACTACAGCTTACGAGCCAGTGTTGGTGAGGTAGTACTACAGCTTATGAGCCAGTGTTGGTGCCATAGTACTATGCCAAAATTCTAGTGGCTTCAAATCTAGCAGGAGAAAGCTGGTGGGCCTACATGTGAGAGAATGGGTCTGTGTGATCAGTGTGCTCAGTATAAAAAAAAATTGGGGAGCCAGTGGTGCACTGTGGGAACGTCATTTCAGTAGTCCTTGTTCAGCATGCCTAGTGGTAAGAAATACCTGACTCCCCGGTGAATTTGGAACTCTTCTCTTCCCAAGATGGAAGTGTCAGAGAAGATGAATTTCAAGGTTTTGGGGAGTTTGTGACCAAAAGCAATGTCCAGGTTGCCAGATACAGATAGTGAAAAGGGAAGGCAGCCTGGGTGGTGGGGAAGACAGCTTGGGTGTTGGGGAAGGCAGATTGGATGGTGGGGAAGACAGCATGGAAGGTGGGGAAGATGGTGCGGGTGGTTGGGAAGACAGTGTGTAACTAAGTTTATTCAGGTATACATGAATACAGTTACATAGATTATCATACATAGCAGCATGTGTAGAGAATCTAGGATAACCCAAAAAAGTCAGTGACTTATTTCCAGCGTGGGTGGTGGGGAAGACAGTGTGGGTGTAGGGAAGGCAGTGTGGGTATGGGGAAAGCAGCGTGGGTATGGGGAAGGCAGTGTGGATGGTGGGGATGATGGTGCAGGTGGGGAAGGCAGCATGGGTGGTTAGGAAGACGGCATGTAAATAAGTTTGTTCAGGTATACACGAATACAGTTACATAGATTATCATAAACAGCAACATGTGTAGAAAACCTAGGATATCCCAAAAAAGTCGAAGTGCTTTATTTCCAGCAAGGGCGGTGGGGAAGGCAGCGTGGGTAGTGGGGAAGATGGTGTGGGTGGGGAAGGCAGCATGGGTAGTGGGGAAGATGGTGTGGGTGGGGAAGGCAGCGTGGGTTTGTGCAAACAATATAATGATAACAATGTTTGTGCAGTTATTGTGTTGCATACAACGAGTGATATATACATTATGCATTATTCTGGTCTCACATGCCACAAAAGTTACTTGAAAAAAATAAAATACAGTGGTACCTCGGGATACGAACAGCTCAAAATGCAAACAATTATGTAAGTGTATTTATGTAAGTGCTTTTGTAAGTGTATTTTTGAAGATCTGAAACAGATTAATCTAATTTCCATTATTCCATATGGGAACTAATTCGTTTGGTATCAGCACTCGAACAGCCTTCTGGAATGAAATAATTTCGTATCCTGAGGTACCACTGTATTAGAAAAGAAAAGAAAAAAATTGAATAAAAGTAAAAATATTACTGTGTGAGAGGCAGTCACCGATGTTGCTGTAAGCGGTTCACTTTCTGTCAGCTTCAAGCTTCTATATCTTGGTAAGTACTGATCCAATTTTTTTTTCTTTTAAAACAATCATAAAAATATTCTTAAGATATTGGTAAGAAAAGAAATTTTTTTTTTTTGAATACGTAGTTTTTTGACACTGAGAGCAGGTTTGTGACCAAAGGTCTCGACAGTGAAAGAGTTAAGCTGCGTAATGAGTTACAATATATTAAGTTTTCTAGTGAAAGTACTTCAGCTGATCATACAGCAGCAAGTAATTTCCCTGCTGAGCTGCAGGAATATATTTCTGAGGGTGGCTATGAGCCACATCAAGGGTTTAATGCTGACGAGACAAGTGTTTTTTGGAAGAAAATGCCAACAAGAACTTACATCAGTCAGCAAGAGAAAAGTGCTTTAAAAGGTGTGGATAAAAACATCTTACCAGTAATTTCGAGGTCAAACCAGTCAGCATGGATGACAGAGGAAATATTTATTGACTAGTTTAACCCTTTCAGGGTTTCTGACGTACTAGTACGGCTTAGGCACCAGGGTTTTCGACGTACTAGTACACCTAAATTCTAGCGCCCTCAAATCTAGTGAGAGGAAACTGGTAGGCCTACATATGAAAGAATGGGTCTATGTGTGCAGTATAAAAAAAAATTCTGCAGCACACAGTGCATAATGAGAAAAAAAAAACTTTGACAGTGTTTTTGGTTTAAAACAGCGACTTTGCACTGTATTTTTGTATGGTATTTATGATGGTATTCTAGTTTTCCTGGTCTCATTTTATAGAATGGAAGACATGTTACAGAAATTGAGATGATTTTGATTGGTTTTACAGTGAAAAGTACCTTGAAATTGAGCTCAAAGTTGCAGAAATCTTCGATTTTTGCCAAAGTTCAAAAGTAAACAAATCATGCTACGCGTCCAATACATGTCAACTGGTGAGTCTGATATTCTTTCACAAGTGCGTTGATATTATTTATACCATTTCTACACTAATGCAGTAGTCTGCATAACAGTAAATCTTCTATTTTTTGTAAGAATAAAAATTCAAAGTGGGAAGCAAAAGAATGTAATGTATCTTTTGTTACAGACACTTAGAGAATTAGCTAATGTATCTTTTGATATCGTTTATTAAATCACTGCTCACTCCTGCTGTTTACCTAAACTGTTTGTAAGATGCTATAGTGCAAATTCTTGAAATAAAAAAAAATTATATCGGCAATTAAAATCCAAATACACCATCTATTTACCCTCTGTATAAAGATGGTGGTGCCTCTTAGTAAAGAATGGAACTCCTGGTGGCTGCAGTACTACATTTCTCTGCTGCTTCACATCAATATCTACTGGTAGTTCTAGTACCAGAGGTTTTGTTTCTGAAACAAAAAAAAAATGAGCATACTTTAATTTTTTTGCTTGGCATTTTTGTGAGACTTTCTTAAACTTAGTGGATACTTATTTTCAAGATATTCACATACAAAATACTTGAAACATTACTCAGGAACTTTCACACCTTAGTACCTTTTTTACTTCCTAAGGAATTAAATCTGTTTGGTGACATCATTTTACCTGTGTTCCAATGTAGTCCCCTCTTTTATAGTCAGGTTTTTCCATTCAACTCCTGTTGCTCTCTCCACTTGCAGCTCTATTATATATTCAAAGCACAGGATCACGTGGTCGCTAGCTCCGAGGGGACTCTCATACGTGATGTCCTCAATGTCTGAACTGCCCGGGGTGAACACAAGGTCCAATCTTGCTGGTTCATCCTCCCCTCTCACTCTGGTAGTGTCCTTAACATGTTGGTGCATGAGGTTTTCCAGCACCACGTCCATCATCTTGGCTCTCCATGTTTCGGGACCCCCATGTGGCTCCAGGTTTTCCCAGTCAATCTCCCTGTGGTTGAAATCCCCCATAACCAGCAACTTTGCTCTGCTGGAGTGAGCTCTTCTTGCCACCTCAGCAAGTGTGTCCACCATTGCTGTGTTGCTCTCTTCATATTCCTCTCTTGGCCTCCTGCAGTTCTGTGGTGGATTATACATCACTGCAATGACCACCTTGTGTTCCCCAGACTGAAGTGTACCTACTATGTAGTCTCTTTCTCCCATCTCATCTATGCCTTCCATTTTCTCGAATTTCCATCTGTTTTTTACAAGCAGAGCAACCCCACCTCCCCCTCTGCCCCTTCTATCTTTCCTCATGATCTGGTATCCTGGTGGGAAGATTGCATCTGTTATTGTCTCCATGAGTTTTGTTTCTGTAACTGCTATGATGTCTGGGGACTTCTCATTGATTCTTTCTTGCCATTCCTCATGTTTATTCGTTAATCCATCTGCATTTGTGTACCAAACCTTCAACTTCTGTTCTAATACTGTAACTGTGGTGTGGGTGGTGGGAATAGAGGGATCGGTGTGTAATGGTTGGTTTGGATTGTTCAGTTGCCTTGGGGGTGTCGTGGCTGGGGTCCTTCTGCAGGTGTTTCTGGGGGGTGTGCTTGTCCTTCCACTTGTTCTTGGGTTATTCTGCTCTCCTTTTTCATTTCCTCCCATTTCTGTGTGTGTGTGTGTACTCACCTAGCTGTACTCGCCTAGTTGAGGTTGCAGGGGTCGAGTCCAAGCTCCTGGCCCCAACTCTTCACTGGTCGCTACTAGGTCACTCTCCCTGAACCATGAGCTTTATCGTACCTCTGCTTAAAGCTATGTATGGATCCTGCCTCCACTACATCGCTTCCCAAACTATTCCACTTCCTGACTACTCTGTGGCTGAAGAAATACTTCCTAACATCCCTTCGATTCATCTGTGTCTTCAGCTTCCAACTGTGTCCCCATGTTGTTGTGTCCAGTCTCTGGAACATCCTGTCTTTGTCCACCTTGTCAATTCCTCTCAGTATTTTGTAAGTCGTTATCATGTCCCCCCTATCTCTCCTGTCCTCCAGTGTCGTCAGGTTGATTTTCCTTAACCTCTCCTCATAGGACATACCTCTTAACTCTGGGACTAGTCTTGTTGCAAACCTTTGCGCTTTCTTTAGTTTCTTTACATGCTTGGCTAGGTGTGGGTTACAAACTGGTGCTGCATACTCCAATATGGGCCTAACGTACATGGTGTACAGGGTCCTGAACGATTCCCTATTAAGATGTCGGAATGCTGTTCTGAGGTTTGCCAGGCGCCCATATGCTGCAGCAGTTATTTGGTTGATGTGCGCTTCAGGAGATGTGCCTGGTGTTATACTCACAACAAGATCTTTTTCCTTGAGTGATGTTTGTAGTCTCTGGCCCCCTAGACTGTACTCCGTCTGCGGTCTTCTTTGCCCTTCCCCAATCCTCATGACTTTGCACTTGGTGGGATTGAACTCCAGGAGCCAGTTGCTGGACCAGGTCTGCAGCCTGTCCAGATCCCTTTGTATTTCTGCCTGGTCTTCGATCGAATGAACTCTTCTCATCAACTTCACGTCATCTGCAAACAGGGACACTTCGGAGTTTATTCCTTCCGTCATGTCGTTCACAAATACCAAACAGCACTGGTCCTGGGACTGACCCCTGTGGGACCCCGCTGGTCACAGGTGCCCACTCTGACACCTTCGCCACGTACCATGACTCGCTGCTGTCTTCCCTGACAAGTATTCCTGATCCACTGTAGTGCCTTCCCTGTTATCCCTGCTTGGTCCTCCAGTTTTTGCACTAATCTCTTGTTTGGAACTGTGTCAAATGCCTTCTTGCAGTCCAAGAAAATGCAATCCACCCACCCCTCTCTCTCTTGTCTTACTGCTGTCACCATGTCATAGAACTCCAGTAGGTTTGTGACACAAGATTTCCTGTCCCTGAAACCATGTTGGCTGCTGTTGATGAGATCATTCCTTTCTAGGTGTTCCACCACTCTTCTCCTGATAATCTTCTCCATGACTTTGCATACTATACATGTTAGTGACACTGGTCTGTAGTTTAGTGCTTCAAGTCTGTCTCCTTTTTTAAAGATTGGGACTACATTTGCTGTCTTCCATGCCTCAGGCAATCTCCCTGTTTCAATAGATGTATTGAATATTGTTGTTAGGGGTACACATAGTGCCTCTGCTCCCTCTCTCAGGACCCATGGAGAGATGTTATCCGGCCCCATTGCCTTTGAGGTATCTAGCTCACTCAGAAGCCTCTTCACTTCTTCCTTGGTTGTGTGTACTGTGTCCAGCACTTGGTGGTGTGCCCCACCTCTCTGTCTTTCTGGAGCCCCTTCGGTCTCCTCTGTGAACACTTCTTTAAATCTCTTGGCGAGTTCCTCACTTACTTCATGGTCATTTCTTGTCTCTCCTCCTTCCTTTCTTAGCCTGATTACCTGATCCTCGACTGTTGTTTTCCTCCTGATGTGGCTGTATAACAATTTTGGGTCAGATTTGGCTTTCGCTGCTATGTCGTTTTCATATTGTCGTTGAGCCTCCCTTTTTATCTGTGCATATTCATTTCTGGCTCTAAGACTGCTCTCCTTATTCTCCTGGGTCCTTTGCCTTCTATATTTCTTCCATTCCCTAGCACACTTGGTTTTTGCCTCCCTGCACCTTTGGGTGAACCATGGGCTCATCCTGGATTTTTCATTAGTCCTGTTACCCTTGGGTACAAACCTCTCCTCAGCCTTCTTGCACACTGTTGCTACATATTCCATCATCTCATTAACTGACTTCCCTCTGTGTGTGTGTGTGTGTGTGTGTGTACTCACCTAATTGTACTCACCTAATTGTGGTTGCAGGGGTCGAGATTCAGCTCCTGGCCCCGCCTCTTCACTGATCGCTACTAGGTCCTCTCTCTCTCTGCTTCCTGAGCTGTATCATACCTCTTCTTAAAACTATGTATGGTTCCTGCCTCCACTACTTCACTTGCTAGGCTATTCCACTTCCTGACAACTCTATGACTGAAGAAATACTTCCTAACGTCCCTGTGACTCGTCTGAGTCTTCAGCTTCCAGTTGTGACCCCTTGTCCCTGTGTCCCCTCTCTGGAACATCCTATCTCTGTCCACCTTGTCTATTCCCCGCAGTATCTTGTATGTCGTTATCATGTCTCCCCTGACCCTTCTGTCCCCCAGTGTCGTCAGTCCGATTTCCCTTAACCTTTCCTCGTACGACATTCCCTTGAGCTCTGGGACTAGCCTTGTTGCAAACCTTTGTACTTTCTCTAATTTCTTGACGTGCTTGACCAGGTGTGGGTTCCAGACTGGTGCTGCATACTCCAGTATGGGCCTAACATACACAGTGTACAGTGTCTTGAACGATTCCTTATTAAGGTATCGGAACGCTATTCTCAGGTTTGCCAGGCGCCCGTATGCTGCAGCGGTTATTTGGTTGATGTGTGCCTCCGGTGATGTGCTCGGTGTTATGGTCACCCCAAGGTCTTTCTCCCTGAGTGAGGTCTGTAGTCTTTGTCCACCTAGCCTATACTCTGTCTGCGGTCTTCTTTGCCCCTCCCCAATCTTCATGACTTTGCATTTGGCTGGATTGAATTCGAGAAGCCAGTTACTGGACCACATGTCCAGCCTGTCCAGGTCTCTTTGCAGTCCTGCCTCATCCTCGTCCGATTTAATTCTTCTCATCAACTTCACGTCATCTGCGAACAGGGACACTTCAGAGTCTATTCCTTCCATCATGTCGTTCACATATATCAAAAATAGCACTGGTCCTAGAACTGACCCCTGTGGGACCCCGCTCGTAACAGGCGCCCACTGTGATACCTCTTCACGTACCATGACTCGTTGCTGCCTCCCTGTCAGGTATTCCCTTATCCATTGCAGTGCCCTCCCTTTTACATGCGCCTGATCCTCCAGCTTCTGCACTAATCTCTTGTGGGGAACTGTGTCAAAGGCCTTCCTGCAGTCTAGGAAAACGCAATCTACCCACCCCTCTCTCTCGTGTCTTACCTCTGTTACCTTGTCATAAAACTCCAGGAGGTTTGTGATACAAGATTTGCCTTCCATGAACTCATGCTGGTTTTCATTTATAATCTTGTTCCTTTCCAGGTGTTCAACCACTCTCCTCCTGATAATCTTCTCCATGACTTTGCACGCAATACATGTCAGAGACACAGGTCTGTAGTTTAGCGCCTCGTTTCTGTTTTCTTTCTTAAATATGGGGACTACATTAGCTGTCTTCCATTTCTCAGGTAGTTGTGTGTGTGTGTGTGTGTGTGTGTGTGTGTGTGTGTGTGTGTGTGTGTGTGTGTGTGTGTGTGTGTGTGTGTGTGTGTGTGTGTGTGTGTGTGTGTGTGTGTGTGTGTGTGTGTGTGTGTGTGTGTGTGTGTGTGTGTGTGTGTGTGTGTGTGTGTGTGTGTGTGTGTGTGTGTGTGTGTGTACTCACCTAGTTGAGGTTGCGGGGGTCGAGTCCGAGCTCCTGGCCCCGCCTCTTC